GTCTCTCTCTCTCTCTGTCTCTCTCTCTCTCTCTCTCTCTCTCTCTCTCTGTCTCTCTCTGTCTCTCTCTCTACTTCTCTCTCTCCTGCCTGCCTCTGTTTCTCTTTTATCTCTCCCTCGCTTTCTTCGGTTCTCTCGCTGGGGTTTCTTACGCTCTCCCGCTACTATAGCTGCTGACCGCCTCTGCCCATCGGGCCCCATCAACCGGCGGGCACAACACCCATGACGACTATTATATATAGTAGTGCTTTCTGATTCTGGCTCTGTTTATTCCACACTTCCACACAGAGCCTCGCTTGTCACATCCGTTTGCGACCTTCCTTGGTTCTTGTCCGCATGTATGCTTGAATCCATGAACCGACCACCGTCAACCAATGCCTCAATCCACGAACCCATCCATCCGCACACCATTCATTCATTCACCCATTTATCCTTCAATCCATCCAACCATTCATGCATCCACCCATCCACACATCCATCGATGTATCTGTCCATCCATCTATCCTTCAACCCATCCATCCATCCATCTTTCCGTCCGTCCACCAAACGCAGCTGGTGGTGATGCCCTACGCCGCGCTGCTCTCCCGAGAGGCTCGCGCCGCCATGGGCGTGAGGCTGGAGGGGGCTGTGGTGGTGGTGGATGAGGCCCACAACATCGTAGAAGCGATCAACTCGGTGCACAGCAAGAAGGTCGTGCTATCGGAGGTAAGAGTGAAGAAGTGTGCCGATGAAGCATGCCCTGTGAGGTTGTCATTGTTGTTCAACACAGACGGCGGTTCAGGCGCGCAGCGAGATGAAGGATGTGCTGCAGGAGGTGACGCTGCACAGGGGGTCCGAAAGGGTACTAGCCATCCTGTAGCGATTGTGGTATATAGCGTACACGCGGTTCGGATGTGCACACTTTTGAGGCCACGTTGAGACTCCGGCAGCCCCCTTGACCAGTGTCCGCTGGCACACGGTGGCCAAAATCCAGGGACACACTCCCTCTCTCTCCCCCCCCTACTCAGTGCTCCGGGTTGCACGCATGGAGGAGGCTAAACCTAAACATGATAGCTATCCCCCTCGTTCCCGATTGGCGCAATTGAAACGGACCGAGCCCTCCTCCCCTCCCTCCCCCAATCTTTTCACTGGTTGCCGTATCACTGTCACGGTGGGAGGTGGGACTATTCTCCTGTCTGTCTGTCTGTCTGTCTGTCTGTTTGTCTGTCTTTCTGTCTGTCTCTGTCTGTCTGATTGACTGTGTTTGTGCCTGTCTCTCTGTCCCGCCCGACGATGAAATCTAAAACGTGTGGTAACGTGAAGCACCCTTGGCATTTCTTCCAGAATTTTTGGAAAACAACCCAACACATCATTAGTTACCCAACCCCGTGGTGGACGGGCAACTCGGTGCAGGTGGCGCGCGCGCACTCCCAACTGTCGCAGTACGAGGTCAAGTACGGTACCCGGCTCAAGGGCTCGAACGCGTTTTACGTCGGCAACATCCTCAGGCTCCTGCGGGCCGTCCTCAAGTTCCTCACCAAGTGAGCCAGGAGGACGGGCTTCCGTTTTGTTTCTTTGTAGTTACCTTCTGTTTTGGGAATTCAGAGGAGGGGGGTGAGTGAAGCGAGTGGTTGTTGGATTACATACCCCTTTTTGACGTTTATGTTCGTTTTTTCCGTTAGTTCTCACCTTCCGTTGACGTTGACTTTGGAGTGGAAACTTTTCTCCCCTTCTCGAAAGCATTGAGAAGCAACGTATTTTTGCCGATCTTACCCCCCCCTCGGTCAATGGTCTAACGGACAAGGCATTCAAAACATGAGAGAACACTCCCTCCCCTCCCCTGGCCGGGGTCATCGCCGTACATCCCACCAGGGGCAAGGAGAAGCTCCAGGCTGCTCGCGCCGAAAACGCCAAGACCACAGCGGCGGCAGCAGCCTCCAAAGGAAATACCGGGGTGCAAGGCCCGAGGGGGGGCGGCGCTGGTGCTGGTGCTGCCGGCGGCGAGGCCGAGGAGGCGGGGGTCCGATCGGAGATGTTGGAGGTCAACGACTTCTTGTTCCGGGCGGGCCTGGACAACGTGAACCTCTTCAAGCTGCAGCGATATATGCGGCGGAGCGAGATCTCAAGGAAGGTGTGCGTGGGGTCGTCGAGATACGGTCCAGAAGAAAAGGAGACAGGCGGCCGTCCCTTTCGCGTGTACTTTTTTATTTTTTGTTGTTGTGAACCGCGCGTAGATCGGTGTAGTGGCCTCGTGATTTCGTCTCGACCAAGCCCCGGTCGGGTCTCATATGTGTGTGTGGGCGTGTGCGTGCGTAGCGTGTGTGTGTGTATGTGTATGTGTATTATTTGCATCGATCGCGCTACTCGGCTGACCAATGAAAAGACGTCAGTCTCAGTGTTTGTGTGTGTGAGTGTTTTATCGGACTCCCGCCGATCGCTGAAAATTCGATAGTGCTAGAGGGCCCAAGTGTTCGGTTGCGTTCTGTTGTTTCGTTTTTCTCAACCGCTCTTGGCGGCGGCTGACCAATGAGCGACGGCGTTAGCGTCTGCGGGATGAATCGCGCCACAATATTCAAGCATGCTCGCATGTGTTTCGAATCCCATGGGGTGGTCGTCCCGTATCCCGGGTGGTGCGTAGATGGGCCATGGAAGAGAAGCTCAGTCTTGCTATCAACAATAACTCTGAAGTCCCCGAGACCCCTACCGTTGCTGATGCTGTACTTTTGCAGGTGATGGGTTTCATGGACCTTTCGGCGGCGTCTTCCCCGGAGGTTACCCTTCGAAAGAACACCTCACTATCTCAAAACGGCGGCAACGGCGGCAACACCGACGACAGCGGTTGCGGGTGCTCCAAAGCGACAACAGCTGCAACCTCGACGACCGCAACCACGGCCGCAGCAGCAACGGCGGGGGGGGGGGGGGGGGG